TGTTTTATTTCAATAATATAATAAAATAAAAATTGCAATTTTATTTAATATACTATAAATATAAATTTCGGTAAATATCGATATCGATCGATACAGTACCGAAACCGATCGGTACAGTATTGAAATTTTCAGTTCAGTATTTTTACATAAAAATTAGTACCGAAACCGAAACTGAAAGATTGGTATCAGTTTTTATCGAAACTGATTGGAACCCTATGTTTGTATGATGCATGTTTCCAGTGCATTAACTATAAAGGTCTAGTTGCTACAAGCAGTACAATTAATAAACAAGTACTGGTATATACAGAACTGTCGATTATTTATATTTCATGTAACAAGGTTATACTGTATATACTATATATATGTTAAATTGTTTTTTTTATCTATTATTAGAAATCTTAATCATTACCTTATATTTTCTTGTATCACAAAAAATTGATAATTAAATAAAATATATTTCTTTTTTAAATAATCTTATTCACAATTTGTTAAGTGTTTGTCTGGTCATTTCTAACCCTACTATTAATTCTTACCAGAATGTAAATATATTAAAAATTTCTATATATATTTTTAAATTTATTAACAATAAAATAAAAAATAAGATAACAGATAAAGAGATTTCTTGAGATTTCTTAATTATTGTAAAAATGACAGAAAAACCACTACCGATACTTTGAAAATTGATATTGCTGAAACAAAAAAAAATATAAAAAAAATTCATAAAAATTTTACATGTTTTTTCAAACCTGTATTAATTTAATTATATTATATTATAGGTTAGAGAAAATCTCTTAATTCAAAAATATTTTGACAAAGTATATATAGTAAAAACAATATTTTTGGATCTTGTTCCTAATTACAATGAAAAAAAAATAAAAGGAAAGTGGATTTATAAGAATAAAAACCTCCTGTCTTTCCATATACCTGCAATCAATACTGCTTCTTGTTTTATAAGAATGATAAAAAAAAATAAAGAAATAATAATTCGTAACAAGATTTTAAACAAAATAATACTTGCTGTATTCTAAAACCAAATTGACACTAATGTACTTAAACTTATGAGAAACACAATTGTCAATATGTTTGTTTTATGAGGACAAGTTTCCTGATTATCTAAAATAAAAAAACTGAACCAAGATTCTTTAACAGTAGCAAGGTATATTATATTTAAATAAGATTATTTTCAGTTTTTTAAATTTTATTAACATGTAAATACTTGTAGATACTTTTTAACAAGAAAAGGTGGTATTTTTACACATGTTTACAACATACTTATAGAATTGCAAGGATTTGAAAGACAATATTTGCAAGAAAAAAATATTGATGTGATGAACAACTTATTTTTTAACTATGTTATAAATATATTTCCTGAAGATATAACTTTAAGTATTCAAAAAAAAATAGAAGAATTTGATCTTTTCCAATTAAATGGCAACCAGTATAGTACTGTTGATAAAGAAATTATGATTTCTTACAATGACAAAAAAATTTTTTAAACTATCCTTTAAGTCTTTGTGAGGCCTATGTAGCCTGAAGATATAATAAGTTTATATATACTGATACTAATTTTTTAGAATATACAATTGCAATAACTTGTTTAAAAGAAATACGACCTGTCTAGTACTAGAATTAGAATAGCTAGAAATAGTTAATCAGATTCTTCATGTAATAGTTGTAACTTTGTTTCATAAGTTAATAAAAAATTATCACATGTAATACACTTTGCCTCTAAAAAAAAAAAAAAAAAAAATATGACTTGTCAATAGTGATGAATTTAATTATCAGAAAGGAGATTTCGATGGTGATAATTTTTATTTAGCCAAATAGGAAATTAAAGTAGAAATAACAGGTATTTTTTTAGAAAATACTCTTTACTATTGGCCAGAGAATGAATTGCATGGAACTACAATCTTGTCAATAGAGGGTGTAACTTGTGAACTGTTACAAAATTTAGTTAAAAAAACAGTAATAGTTGTAAAAAAATGGAGAAAAAAAAAAGAAGAAAAATATTATGTGGATTACTAATATAATCAATTATCAACAGATTTCTATGTTTTACAAGCTTTTGAAAAATCAATAAAAAAAAATAGTGAAAAAAATAATATCAATTATAAAGAAACATATATAAATATAGAAAACAATAATTGATTATAGATAAATTAGTAATTTTAATAAATTTTATTTATAATATTAATTTATATTTAAAAATAAAATTTTTTCAATTAACAGTCTTTTAAATTAAATTAAAGTAAATATGTTATAATAAAAATTATTATTAACAAAATAATCGAATCAAAATAAATTGGATACAAATCAAATTAAATAAAATTAGATTCAAATCAGATTTGAATCAAATCAAATCAAGCTATATTATATTTGATTCAAATTTAAATTATACATCTAAAAACGAATCAAATCTAATTTAGTTAAAATCTGATCTGATTTGATTTGTTGCAATTCTTACTTATAGTATTCAATCAAATAGCAATCAATTTAATATAGAATTCTATAAGTGTTATACTGATAATTAAAATATTTAATAGATTGATATATAATAATTAGGAATTTTAATTACCTTTACAAATAGAACTGGTAATAATAATAAAAGTTCTTTTTTACTTCTTAATAATATAAATTATATATATAGCTAAGTAATAATATTTTTAAAATTTTTTAATAAAATTTTATCTATTGGATATTTCTGTTATATTTAGAAAATAGATATATTATACTTTTTATATAATTTAGAAGCCAACTTATAAAAAGAATTTGTAATACTTTTATATATAAATAGGACTTTTAATAATATTACTTCAATATTATTTTGATATTATTTTGATATTAGTTTGACATTTAAATTTATTATAAATTATATAAGTAGATTATAACCTATATATTAAATTTACTATAGATCAGTATTATTTCAATACCAGTTTGATATTGATTTAGTATTCTTTGAAGCCCTATGTATAAATTTTTTTGAGTTAATAAAAAAATTAGTAAGAAAAATTTATAACCAGAAATAATTTTAATATATAATTATAAAAATAAAATCTTAATTTTATTTAATAATTAAATAATTTTTATTTTTGCATTTAAAGGTCTTATACTATTGAAATTTACTTAATATACAGTATTTATATCTTATATTTGTAAAATTATATAATAGTAACTCCTTGTATCTAAAAAAAAGTTAATATTAATAAATTACTATATTGGCTTAAGTATAACATTTTTTGATAAAGATAATCTAATAAGTTGATAATGCTTACGGAAATTGAGTCAACATTGATATCACATGTGATGCTATTTCCCTTTACTTAGTTATGCAATATAAAAATTATTTGTTTGTTAACTTAACCAATAAACCAAACATATGCAACCGAATAGATATTAATAAGCGAAGATGGCGGAAGCTCCTCCTTTGAATGCCCAAATAATTCGTGGACTTAACGACAGGGTGTACGATAAGAGAAAGGCTGCGGCATTAGAGGTTGAAAAGTAAGCTTTCAGTAGGAAATAGTAATTGCAAGAACATAACTTAACTGGGCTCAATAATATCTTATTTATGACTAGAATAATCCGTGAATGCTCTAATAAGGATCCCGATAAAATTCGAGCCATTATCGACAAATTGGTTACAGATTTTGCTTATTCAATAAATGCGAATTCGCGCAGCGGAGGGTTAATAGGTCTGGCAGCCGCGTCGATTGCTTTAGGACCCGTTGGTTTTCTAATTCAAGTTTATTCTAGAATGTATATATATATATTACTTCTAATTGAGATACGATATTTATTTATAGAATGTTGCTCCATACCTAGATGACATCGTCACGCCTGTACTTGCTTGTTTCACTGACCAAGATTCGCGTGTCAGATATTATGCATGCGAAAGTATGTACAATATAGCAAAGGTGTCCAAAGGAGAAATATTAAGGTACTTTAATGAAGTATTTGATGCGTTGTGCAAGGTAAGTTATATTTTTACAATGATATTAAATTTTATTATCATCTTTCGAAAATAAATTAACCATTGGGTAAAGTATATTTCATAATATTCTTTCACGTGTTATGTTTACATTGGCATAGCTAGCAGCAGATTCTGAGCTTTCCGTAAAGAATGGGGCAGAGCTTTTGGATAGATTAATTAAGGATATTGTTGCAGAACAATCCACTTCGTATGTTTCCGTTCTTACACCAGCACCAGTTGCACATGATGACTTAATGGATCCAGTCTCTATTCCACGCACTACAGCATTTTCTTTGCCCCGGTTTATTCCTTTGCTTGGGGAACGTATTCGTGCCACCAATCCTTATACGCGTAATTTTCTGGTATCATGGATTACAATGTTAGATTCAATTCCGGATCTTGAACTTGTATCGTTTTTACCTGATTTCTTGAACGGACTTTTGCAATTTCTAAGCGACAAAGATGTAAGATATACAACATCTGTAGTACTGGCAAACTTTTTAGCTGAAATACGTGAGGCAGTTGAAGTTAAAGAGCAACAAAAGCAGCAGGCAATGAAAGCTTATTTCGTGGAACAGCAAAGAAAATTAGCAGCTGCATCCGAAACTGCTAGTGAAGCCGGAGAAAGTGTTAAAGATAGTAATGTTAGTATCGATGGAGATGATGCCGCTTTGGGGAAGCCAGGCGTCTATTCATTAGATGGAGATATTAATTGGGATTCCATTTCAATGAACGAGACGGAGGGTAGAGGCAAAGGTTCATGGGTCCCCGGACAAGGCGTTGTTATTGATTACATTAGGATTGTCGAAATATTAATGCCACATTTGTCTTCACAAGGTTACTATTAAATAGCCCTTTTTGATTAATGTTGTCTATACAGTTGCTAAAAGAAATTATTAACTACAAATTAGAGGAAGAAATTCAAGCCACAGCCCTAAAATGGATAAATGAATTCACGAATCTCGCGAAGGAAGTAATAATATCATTCACGCCTCAACTGATAAGTGCCGTATTACCTTCATTGGCCCACTCAGTTTTATATATCCTTTCATATTGTTAAAGTTATTATGTCGATATTATCGTTTTTCAAGTAGCTCTGTAACACGATTGTCTAGATACTACTATTGCTCCAAAGATGATAATAATAACATTTTCCTTGACAAAAAATTTTACCTATTAGGAATAGCGCTGTGGAGCTCAACAAGAATCTTCACAAGATGATACTTGAAACCCCAACAAATAGCACTTCGTCATCACAACCACCACCATATTCAGTAGTTACCAAGGAGTCATCATCCTTCTCCTCGACTTCTTCTATTGATTCACACATTGGAAACCATAAAGAACTTCATCAAATTAATCCGTTGCCGTTAATATATGAACAAGCTGATCCATTTGATTATCAGGCAACTGTCGAGGCGTTAGTTCATCAATTTCTAAATGAACATGAAGAAACTAGAGTGGCAAGTTTGGATTGGTTGTTAATGCTTCATAAAAAGGCACCCAAAAAGGTTTGCAGAAACATAATATACATATATTTTTCGTAAATTAATGTTAATATTATTCCAAATATTACAAATTGTTTAGATTCTTGCGATTGACGATGGTACATTTCCGGTATTGTTAAAAACTCTATCCGATTCTTCAGAAGAGGTATGATATTATTTGTCGCATATCACAAGTGAGATCTATCTCAATATAGAAATTAATCTACTTCTTGTAAGGTCGTCAAACGAGATCTTCAACTTCTTGCACAATTATCATCCAGCTCTGAAGACGAATATTTTACCCGCTTCATGGTGGATCTATTGAAACTTTTTAGCACTGATCGAGGATTACTCGAATCACGGGGTAGTCTAATTATTCGCCATTTATGCCAGAGTCTCAATTCGGAAAGAATTTATCGAAGCTTTGCGGAAATTTTAGAAAGAGAAGAGGTTGGTTATTTAATTTTTTTTATATTCGTTTTTACGAATTAATTGATTTGTTGCATTAAATAGGATATAGAATTTGCTTCAAGTATGGTTCAAAATCTCAACAGTATTCTTATAACATCACCGGAACTTTCTGATTTACGGAAGAGACTCAAGAACCTTGAGACAAGAGATGGGCAAATGTTATTTACCGCTTTATATAAATCTTGGTGCCATAATCCAGTGGCTACATTTTCTCTTTGCTTGTTAGCGCAAGCATACGAACATGCAGCAAATTTGTTACAAAATTTGTATGTTATCTATTTCATTTTTTTTCCGAAAATATGTACTTTGTGCGATCATTATTAAATATTAATAACATATACTTTATTAGTGCTGACCTTGATGTAACTGTTAACCTTCTAATTCAAATCGATAAACTTGTTCAGTTGCTTGAGTCACCAGTATTTACATGTAAGAATCAGGCTTTATTTAATATTGTGTTTCTGGCATTGAATTAATATTTACAATCGCAATTTTAACTACAGATCTACGTCTTCAACTCCTTGAACCCGATAAATATCCGTATCTTTTTAAGTGCCTCTACGGTCTTCTGATGCTTTTACCACAGAGTAGTGCGTTTGCAAGTTTGAAAAATCGATTAACTAGTGTCTCCTCTATGGGATTTCTGCATTTAATTCCATCGAAGAGGTATGAATTTACATCTATCATTGTACCTGTATTTACTGTAATACGGAGTTATTCATTACAAATCAAATTATTAATCTAATTAAGCCCTTCTACGGCTGGAAGGACGACCACAAAATTGTCGACCGTAAAAGAAGATGGAATAAAATTTCAAGATCTTCTGACTCATTTCAGGACCGTCCAAACAAAGCACGAGAAGATTAGAAAGCAAGGTATCTCTAATGCAATATTAACCTATTACTGACGAGACTATTTTAATAAATTCTACTTTATATATTTTTGTTCGAAAAATACTACGATTAACAGCAAATCAATCACTAGGAAAAACAGGCAGCTTATCTATGCGTAGTCGTCGTATGCGCGATCGAGATCATCGTGATCGTACACATCATCCGACGAATACGTCGCAGCCTTCATCCGCATCTAGTAAACATGGTGCCTTGTCTGCAAATTCAACAGAAAATCGAGCAACCACTGGCTATAACAATGCTACAAATAGTAATGTTTCAGGAAGCTTATCAACAAGTCAGCCTAGGAGACGCCTTAGTACTGCTAGCTCGAATAGTACAACAAATGATCATGGAACTGTGAGTGCGAATTCTTATCCACAAAGCCCACCAGCTAGCGGTAAACGTGGATCTACTCATAAAAAATAGGTTTGCCTTTCGCATCTTAAAAGCAATGAAGACTTCCAAGCCCTAGTAGGTTTCTTCTTATTTTTGATACACCGACTAAAAATATCTAAGATTTTAGCATTATATTTCATGTTTCAAAATTAAATAAATAAGTTGGATTTTATTATATTTATTAAAATTTTTTGACGACAAATATATATTTTTTATATAAAATTCCTAATATTTCTATTTATAAAAATTTAACTAATACAGTTGCAATTAACTATAATTTGCTTATTTGATCTAAGTCATAATATCTTGGAATCTCAAAAGATAAACTAAATGCACGGATTACAGAACGAGTTTGTTTCTTTCAGAAGTATTTGTTTGTTTTTGGCTGTTTCTTTTGCTTTTGCTGTAACAAAATTGAAAACAATAAATATTTTCCTTGTATAGTTGTCTGTTTTGAGGAATGTGAAGTTGATTATCTCCTGCAAATTATATTCAGTAGTGTCTGATAAAAGATTTATAAGTTTCAGAATATATTTGTCTTATAATATAGTAGTTTAATTTCATGAATTTTCAAAAATAGATAAATTTTTAATAGTTTTTTTTTAAAAGAAATATTTCATTTCTTATTGAACTTGTTATAATCTTTTTGATTTTCAAATTCAACTAGTATGTTCTGCCACATGCAGTATTTATTTTAAGATTGTAGATTTGTTCAAATCGGATAAGTTTTAGCTTAATTTCTTGATAATTAATGTTTAAGAAATATCTCAAATATGAATGGATTTGTTTTAACTTTTGCTGGATCTAGATTAGTTATAATGGCTATATAATGAATATTATTTTGTTGAATTGTTATTTTATATGTCTTTTGAATATCTTTTTAATTGATAAATAAGGCAAGGATCAATTTCAACTTTATTGCTATATTATTAAAGTACAGTAGTGGCAGAAAAAAATGGCAGTAAAGAAAAATTTATTTATTTAATCAATTTTTATTAGAATTACTTCAAATTTGAAATATAAGTAATTTAATATTACATTATTCATAATATAAACTATTAATATTTAATAACATCACTATTTTTTTGAATTACTAATTCTATCTACTTTTTTATACTCTTTACTAAATTAAAGCAAAGTATTTGATCTATATTATCCTATTCATTCTTATTTATTTTCTTTTTTACCCATTTTTTTAGAATTGCCTATATATTTTCTATAAGGTTCAAATCTGAGGAATATAATGGCCAATTAAGAACTTCGGGATATTAATCTTTGAGAAGGGAGACTGTAAGCTTTGCAGTGTGTTTGAGGTCATTGTCCTGTTAGAATTTCTATGACCCCCAAGAATCTGCTAAGCTTGATTAAAAAGATTATTTGTTAGAATTTTGCGATACAGCTTACTATCTATATTTTTTGTAAATAAATGCAATCCAGCGGTTCTGTGTATATAGAAGGCCTCCCATATATAGACTTTAAATAGATGCTTGACAATTCCACATGTTGGTCTTTTTTCTTTAGCTTTATAATAAACTAGGGTGGTGTTTCAAAACATTTGTATTGTTGTTTTATCAAAAAAAATTATATTTTTCCATTTTTCCCCATTTATGACATTTTGTTTATGGAACATTTTATTCTTTAGTAATGGCAGTAAGAAATGGAGTAGTTCAAGGAATACATACATAGTAACCAAGCTTCCAGAGATTTTCTCGAACTGTACGACTAGCTATTGTTACTGCCTTGGGAGAGCAAAATGAGAATTGTGCCAATTTAGACTCGCAGTGAACAGGGTGTTCCTATGAAA